AAGTATAAGTTATGTATTTTGTGTTAAATTTTTTATTATAAGTTAGAAATGCTAATGTATAATGTTAAATCAACAAATTACATTTTGTACTACATATTTTTTGATATACAAACGTGGCCCATCGGTGATGCATGGCGCCCCACGCAACAATCTAGCATAGGCCACCGGTGGGTCAGGTCGCTCTATGAAACAGACAAGCATGGGCCACTGGAGGGTCATGCCAGCGTCAAAGTGTTAAATCTATTAAGATGGCAAGTAGAATTTATAAAATTAAAAATATGAAATCATGATTTATGAAATAATGAAGCATTTATGACCTAAAGTGTATCAAAATTTACACACACACACACATACAAAAAAGCTTAATATTTATTTGTTCTTTCAATATTTCTTTGAATGTAAATTAGTTAAGTTGCTTCGTTTTTTTTTTTTTTTTTTTTTTTTTTTTTTTTTTTTTTTTTGTGTGTGTGTGTGTGTGTGTGTTGATAAAACTTTTCGGCTTGCCGTTTGCATTCCATCCATATATTCTATGACGAATATTACTCATATACCTTCTATCAACCCCTTAAATTACCCTCTACCAATTAGGATAACTGTGCAGCCAATAATATTTCTGACCTCTTTCTGAAAAATATTGCTGTCCTTTTCTACGAATACAGCTTCTAAGACTCAGCCTTTTACCAGAGCATTATATAAGCTTTTAAATGTCTTTACAGAAAAAATGTTCGGACACTGATAAATAGAATTGAATCTTGCAAAAATGTATTTTGAACGAGATAACTAAGCTGCTATCTCTGCTAGAGGCCATGAATATTACAATCAATGCACACGCTTAATCACTCAAAACACAGTTAAAATCTGTTTTTGAAAATGTGTCTTTTATGTAGAAGAGTTAGAGCAATCATAAGCTACACACAATGTTTCAGATGTCAGTGAGAAAATTTAGGAAGATTCATTTTTTGACTATATACCAACTGATGGCAATATTGAGACAGCATGTGTAAAATTGACTACAGTAGTATAAAAAGTATTAAACTGCAGAAACTGATAGTAAAAATGATACCAAAGTAAATAAATGATATGGCAACATCAACCAAATGTAGAAGAGCACTGCAAATTCAAAGAAAAACTCTTAAATTGGGAGGTTTTAATTAAAAAAGCTATCCCCAGTTTTATGAAATTGAGAATACAATTAAAAAATTATTGATGAACAATACAAAACAAACATGGATGGAACAATACTTTGTAAATCTAGTCAGTTAATTTTTTTAGTATATAATAATTAAAATTTAAAAATTAAATTTCAAAATTGCATAACTATTTTAATTTTTAACATTTTATTTATTAATTTAGGATTAATTGTTAATTATTAATTTACTAGATAAGTTTAAAACTGATGTTAAAATTTGAAATAAACAAATCAATGCCTATTAAACTAAGTCATTTATTAAACCTGAACATGAAAGTAAATGAAAATTATTTTAATAAGTGGTGGGTACTGTATGTATGTGTGTGTATATATACATATATATGAATATATGTGTGTGTGTGTGTGTAAGATTAAAAACATGTAAATCAAAATTATAATTTAAATTAGCATTAGTCCTTTTTATTCCCCATTTTAATTTGACTATTTCTTTTTTTCTGTTCTAAATGGTTTATAATAATTTTTCTGGACTGTGTTTCCAATTAATTCATTCATGCTTCCTTATGTAATTCTCCTGCATTGCAGATGGTTCTCATCCAATCATAGAGTCTATAAATACCACTGCTACTATTGCTCTGCCCTCTTTTTTCTGCCTCACCTTGCTGCCAGCCACATAGAGTTTGCTTTTTGCTTCATCCTTTGTCTAAGAAGGTGCAAGCTGTACAAAAGAAGGCAGTTCATCTCTCACCCATAAATGCTGCTGTATGAATCTGTTTATGCATATTAAGACTTGTTCTGTTACACAAATAAAATTATTTGTTTAATTCAGTGACCAAGTCTGAAAGCTTTTCTTTCATCTTAATAATCCATGCAGCTGTTTTCTGAATCCTCAAATCATCTACTAAGTTATTACATTTTAATTAGTCAGACAGGATCCCTTAAGTGCCTAATGGGAAAATTATTTAGGAAGCTCTTCAAATCCTCACATATTTGATAATTCAAGTGCTATAGCATGTTAATAATGCATCACTTAACCTATCAATGCTTCAGAATATAACCATGCATAGTCATGTACAAAGATGTAAGCTTACAAAAAGAAGGGGTTCATTTCTCACCCATAAATGCTGCTGTGTGAATCTGTTTATGCTATTAAGGCTTGCTCTGTTACACAAATAAAATTATGTGTTTAAATCAGTGGCCAAGTGTGAAAGCTTTTCTTCCCTGTTCTTTCATCTTAAGTATCGATGCTGCTGTTTTACGAATCCTAAAATCATTTCAAAAGTGCTTTGAAGATCACCCAACTGCATGTTTTAATTTTTGCTTCCTCCAACTCTTATGCAAATAAATTAGTCACATTATTTTTCACTGGTGCAGAATTGAAAATTGTGTTTGAAGTGTATGCTAGAAAATTATTTTCAATTCTGATTTTCTAATCACACTTATATTGCAACTTCATATTTTCCTTACTATACTATATTTTGAAAATGTAGCATTGCTACATGAAAAAAAAAAAGTATACTTTTATGGTATTAGAAATTTGATTTCTACCTGATTTAGTAGAGTAAGTAGAGAATTAAAAATTTTTTAAATTATTTTTAGGGTTATTAAGATAGATGTTTACAATTTTATGTTAGCTCACTGGTTAATAATATGGTTATTAAGATATATAATTACACTTTGAATTTATGTTGAAAATGTTGAATTATTGTAAGAATTTTATAATTATTTTGAGAACAATGCAAATATGGAAGCAGAATGAAAAAATTCTGAAATATTAGTACAGAACATGGATATAAAATTATGCTTTGAATATAATACAGAAAATATGTAATGTGTAAAATATTAAATATTGTTATTAATATTTCAGAAATAGTAAAAAATTAAGAGATTGAGTAATTGTGATAGTTTATATGACTAATGTAATTAAAAAGTAAAATTGTTTTGAAATTATGGTAAATGAATGTTATATAATTGTACGAGGCATATTCAGAAACTAAGTACCATTTTGAAAAAAAAAAAAAAAAAAGTTAAAACAATTTTTTCGAATCCAATTTTATTTTTACATGAAAATACATGTCTTAAACTATTTTTCAACATAGTTTCCGCCAATGATCAAACACTTGTCATAGCGGGTGACCAGTTTTTGTATACCATCGTCAAAGAAACTTCCCGCCAATTTCGATAACCACGACTCCACAGCATTTTTCGTGTCATCGTCAGATCCAAAGCGCTTGCCACCAAGCTCGCGCTTCATGTGCAGGAACAAGTGACAGTCGGACGGCGCCAAGTCCGGGCTGTATGACGTGATCGAACTGCACCCAATGAAACTGTCGAATTAACGATTGAGTGACACCAGCAGTATGGGGCCGAGCATTGTCATAGAGCAACACAATTCCTTTACTGAGCATTCCTCTTCGTTTGTTTTGAATGGCACGCCTTAGTTTTGTTAAAGTCTCACAATATCGTGCCGCATTAATGGTTTCACCTCTGGGAAGATATTCAGTAAACAAAACGCCTTTCCTATCCCAGAAGACAGTGCACATGATTTTTTGTGATGACATTGTCACTTTGAACTTTTGTTTTTAGGGAGAATGAGTGTGTCTCCACTCCATCGATTGTTGTTTCGATTCTGGTGTGAAATGACACACCCAAGTTTCATCACCTGTCACAATTTGGTTTAAAAAGTTTTCTCCCTCATCACTGTACAGCGTGAGAAATGTCAGGGCACTACCAAGTCGCTTTGTTTTGTGAACATCAGTGAGCATTTTGGGAACCCATCGGGAACACAGTTTGCGATAATTCAAGCGGTCAGACACAATTTCGAACAAAACAGTACTGAAATTTGTGGAAATGCCTCTGAAAGAGTTGTCATTGTGAAGCGTCTGTTCTCATGAATTGTTTCATGAACTTTTCCTTACCAAATCATCGGTGACAACAGAAGGCCGACCACTCCGAGCCTCGGCGTGGACATTGTTCGACCTGCATTAAACATTCTTACCCACTTTCTCACCATTCCATCACTTATCGCGTATTCACCGTAAACTTCTGTCACTTGACGATAAATTTCGGCCGGTTTTAACATTCCTCGCGTTCAAAAATTTAATCACGGCACGAATCTCACAGTCAGCGGGAGAACTAATTGTCTTAAATATTTTGAATGTGCACAGCAAACTGAAAACACAACATAGAGCAACAAAAATGGCGACAATTGAAAGTCAGTGAACAAGAAAGACTAGTGCGCATGCGTGGGATACCTACCACAGCGCTGCGACGGCGCTAGAATGAAACGGTACTTAGTTTCCGAATACGCTACGTATGTAATGATAGAATATGTCGAGAGAATGCTGGTTCAGAAACAGAGGCTTGTTTTTACATCTGTATAATTGTTCCTTTTACCCTCCTCCATATAAGATAAACTTTGAAGGCTTTCCTTAAGAAAAAAATGCAATTTTTTTTTTACACAGAATTATTTTCATTTTTATTTTTTCATATAATTGAGTTTTATTTATTAATTTCAATATATAATGGAATGTTTTTGTGTAGTTCACTAAGCTAATTTGGAACTCAAAATTCCGAGAACCAAAACCCTTCCCTTAAAAAGCTTCCATATTGGATAACTTTCTGCCCTTCAGCCTAAGTAGATTGCTGCTTCTATTTTTACAGCACAGCTATCAAAAATGTAAAATGTTGAAATGGCATTGCATATACATATATGTATTCCTTTTATCATGGGTAACATTCATATAACATATATTGATTGGCATTATATTTATTCAGTATTCATTCTACTTTTTTTTTTATTCACTTAAACCAAATTACTTACTTTAATAAGTAAGCATAACTGAAATCTCACCTTCCAAAAATTGAATGCTTTTTATCCAAATGTTGACAAGAACGATATGTGATAAAGCTGAAATTAAAACAAATTACTTATTGCATGATTTTAAAAATTAATTCACAAAAAGATTGAATAAGTTAACTTAAAATTGAAATACATACAACAGAAAGCTTAGTTAGTTTTAAAACTTAATTTAACAATATCAAAGATTTAATTTTCTCAATTAAGTATCTAGTTTTCATTCAAATGAATAAAATAAATTGCTTTTGTGCAACTAAAAATACACAAGTGAAGGTAAAATATACTAACAACTGAGATTTATTTGTATTTGGGCCTGAATTTGCCATACTGAGAATTCCTCTGCCTTGATGACTAAGATTTGGGCTAAATTCATCTTTAAAAGCCTTTTTCCAAACTGATTCTCCACCATTCCCAGTACCAGTGGGATCACCACCTTGAATCTATTTAACATTGCAAAATAGTTTCAAATTATATCATGTGACATACATATATATGACTACATTAAAATGTGTATAATAATTGTAAAATACTCACCATGAAATTACGGATTGATCGATGAAAAATAGTACCTTCATAATAGCCATTTTTTGCTAACTTAATGAAATTTTCGCATGTTTTTGGTGTAATTTCACAGTGTAATTCTAAATTCAGTGGCCCTAAGTTAGTTACAATTCGTGCATATCCTTTTTTCTTCACTCTACCATATCGCACAATGTCATCATCCAGAACAGCTACAGTAAAAATAAAAAATTTCACATAGCAATAAGAATTTTTTAAGCATATTTTTAACTAAATAATTCATATTACATAAAATATTTATTCTAAGCTTTAAAAAAATCCATTTTATGGAGACACCCTGAAAATCAATATACATACTAGCCATTACATCAAATTTAGTCTGATACTTTAAACATAGTATAATGAAAAGCATGCACATTAAAAGTTATACCAAATGTATGCAATTACCTTCAGTTTTGAATGAAGAAGAAAAACTCTTCTAGAATATTCAATCACTGTGCCAAGTTTGGATGTTTTTATTAACAGCACATAGAAGAACACTTCTGTGTAAAAACTGCTTGTTCAGTGGTTTATCAAGAAATATTAGAAAGGGATGCATATGAAAGATCATTATAAGCAGCATTCAAAATTTACCAGAAATAATTTACTACAACATAATTTTTTTAAATGACTAGAAATGGATTAAAAAAAAAGTTGTAAGTATAGCAACTATGAAGAATCTATTACATCAAATAACATATGATATAGCATAAGTATAATGAAAGTTAAATATATGAAGAATCTGTATAGTTTACAAAAATAAAGGGAAAAAAAATTAAACTAAATTATTATATTTGTGTTTTACCATTCAGTTCTTAGAGACTCTGTAATTGAATTCAGAGAAATTTGTATATCATCAGACAATGTATTTTATTATACGATGGTTAAACTTGAAGTATTTTGAAGTTTTAATTGAAAAAACATGAAGCTTGCCTCCTATAGGCTTCTACAGTCAAGAAAGGGAATTGGGGGGGGGCATTTTAATAAATAATCATTGTGTTGGTCTCTCAAGCAATTTCAATTTTTACTTATCTACAAAATTTCCTCCATTTATAAATTAGTTCTCCACGAAACTCCTTCTTCACAGAAAACTTTCATGTGAGAACCAGTCCTAACAGTGACTAGTATTTGGCAGAACACAAGTAAACATCAATATTAATAATATAGGTATCTGCAAAGACCATTCTCTAATCCAAATGAGATCACCAAATACATTTATTCATGACCAACAAAGCATATTAACTTCATCAATGTAAAATATTTCCAAGGAAAATACAAATTAATAAATATATCTCCAAACACAAGGGGGGAAAGGGGAACGCGAACAGGGATATGGTTGTTCATAAATTTCCGAGACAAATTTGATCCATATCTCAGCATGAGGTGATTTATCTTACAGACTTGTTTATTATGCTATACAGTCAAAAGTCCTTAATTCGGACACCCATAATCCGGACCTCAAAGCTACAAACTTTCTGCGCATGCGCGTAAGACCTTTATGGCTGTGCATATGCATGTACGCATGCGCATAATACATTTACGCATGCGCATTTAATGTATAACGGACGGTATAAGCTAAAATTATCTATTTCAGTTAATGTTGCAGATTTCGTTGTTCCTTAATCTTCGAATTGGATCCGGCTTATTATTTTTTGCAGACTGTTAGAGCAATTTTATAAAAGTAAGCTTGAACTTTCGATTATGACAAATAGAATTTCTGATGCTGGAGCTCCCAAAGGATCTACAAAGCAAAAGTATGTTTCGATGTCCATCAAACAAAAAGTGGAATTGCCGTAAAAAATGGATAAAGGCATATGCTTTGTTTCTCTAACCATTCCAAAATCTGTTTATCAATTTCGCGCTGCCTTGTGGAGGGGGGGGGGACATCGCAGAGCGCTATGAACTGGAAGTTGATCTGTCTGATCCTTATCTTCAGGGCAGATGTTTTTATTTTATTTGGCTTATAATTCCTTACTAAATGTAGTATTTCATCTCGATGTACTCCGTCTTTGATATGATTTAAATCAAATTCCTTGCCATTATAATTCGCTTCCAATAGTGAAAAAGTGACACAGAGGTTATTGAAAACGAAAAAATTTCGATTGACAAATTAGTCGGTATTTTCGACCCAGCAATTATAGGACTTGAACAGCGGAACTTTGTAACTGAACAAGAAATTATGTATGTTTATAGAATTAAAGAGAAAGTATTATCACATAAAACGAAGCAATTTAAATAACTTACATTGAAAGAAATGTTTAATAAAGTAAACAAATAAATATTAAGCTTTTTTTTCTAAATTTTGATACCCTTTAGATCATAATTGTTCTTTATTTCATAAATTACGGTTTCATATTTTTAATTTTATAATTTCTGCATGCTATCTTACCAGATTTAAACTGATGATCTATAATCCGGAAAAATCAATAATCCGGAATCGCCTAAGTCCCGACGAGTCCGGATTAACGACTTTTGACTATATATTCTAAATCAATGGTTTCGAATTTGCAACCTGCAAATACATTTTATTTGTGTATTTGTTGCAAATACAATGCTTATAGTTTAAGAAAACATAAAGATACGGATAGAGCTCATGTGCCCAACTACTACTAAAGGAAAAAAAAAGGGTAGGATTGATAGGTTGGGGCTTCTTTGTCACTGTATGCTTGTTTTCCACACCATATGACTAAAATAAGGTGGCAGAATTTCTCATACTGGTACAATCAGCATATTTAGTTTGCCAGCCGACAGCTACTGGTGCTTTAATATTAGTGTTTCCAATTTTCCAGCTTAGGTCAAAAGTAAGTTATTTAGTAGTTCATCAACATATTGCAATTACCTGAAATATATATCAACCTAAAATTTGATATTTAGTTGTTAATACATTGAATTATACAATTATAAACAAGAGAAATTTCTAGCAGGTACCAACCTCTAGACTTCAGCTAGAAAATAAACATAAATTCAAATTTGTTTCCATTGTGTTATTACTATTATTTTTTATGTATGTTTTGATAAATATTTCATAAATCAAATTTAAAATTTAGGCCTTTTTTTTTTGGTTTTGTTATGAATGTTTTTAAATTTTGTGAAAAAAATTGTTCACACTGTCAGGTGCCTTCAGATCAAGCATTCGGCCCGCATGTAGTTTCAACTTTAAACTACTGCTCTATATGATTCATATTACATGCTTGAAGTGTTTATACCAAGTTTTCCACTTCCTGTCTGAGCAGCTGATAAATACGGCAAACCAATTTTCAGTATTACCAAAAGGGAATGCATTTCTGCTTTTGAGATTATCACAATTAGCTACCTTTATTTCAAAATTATAGGTCAGTTGATGCATCTGTGCAGTACATTCCATAAACATTAAGTGATTAATCTTATACTAAGGCACAAAACAAAAAAGCACAAAACAATGTTAACATTCACTCAAAATGTTGCTGGCAAAGGAAACTTTCACATCCAAGAAAAGCAAAGCAAAAGTAAATAAAAATAAATAAATAAATAAAATAAAAGGGAGCAATTAAGAGTGCAAATTTCATAGAGTGAATACAGAGTGTTTTTGATATTACTAAACAACATTTATGAAATAAGGCTTTTATAAGCCCCCTTTGCATAAAAATCTCTTTTTCAAATTAAAAATAATTTTCACAAATTGAATTTGAGAAAATTAAGAATGAAATAATTTATTTCTCACGATTTTATTTTTGGTGCATTATTTTTTGAAGTTATAAATTTATTAATATAACATTATCAATAAACCAATATATTTCAATACACTTCAGTATTTCTGTTCAACAGATTTCAAGAGCAATTTCTTTAACAGATTTGAACAGGGTAAATTCATTATGCTGATGGATAACTGCAACCACAATAATTTTCTATAAAGCAATCATCTTCATAGAAAACCAAAATTGTCTAGAATCATGGGTCATCATCTCAAAGAGAGAGTTCACTATATATCTCTTCTCATAAATTCCATATAATAGATGATACTACCAGACCCTATTGCAGTTTTATATAGAATGAACAGAGTAATTTTTACCATGCAGAAACAGAACCGTATGTTCTTGATAAATGCATCAGCCATTTTTTTAATGCAGAGCTAAATATTTTATTTTTACAACACACACAAAAAAAGAAAAATTGAATCTATCCATTAAGTAATGCAGGCATGCTTTTTTGGGAAATTTAAGAGAAAACATGAACATGTCATGTCATGAAGACTTCAATCTTCTAAGCTTCTGAACATGACATGTTCAGAAGCTTAGAAGAAGCTTAGAAGATTGAATATTTACTTTTCTTCATTCGTTGAATGTTCACATTCAATGAATGTGAACATTCATTGAATATTCAGGCTCAATATTTATTTTTCTTCTTTCAGGTATCGTAGTTTTTCTATATTAGTTTTTGTTAAATAAACCGATATCATATCAAGAAGGAAGTCAAAAAAATAAGAAATGTATCTTTTCACATTTTTTATCGAAACTTAACAACACGTGCACAACATTACACCGACATTCATAGCTCGCACGCAGAGAAGAAACTTAGTGTTGCCAACATGGTAAAGATAAATGTACCAAACTAACAGTTTTATAGTGAAATAATTTTTATTATAAGCTCATTTTAATATTTAATGTTCATATATATATAAACTAGAAGCATGGATTTTCTACAGCTTTACATCTTTTATCTCATGTACATGCCTCTGGATGCTCCTTAAAGGCTCAACTGCTGATGTTAATGCCATGGAGGATGTAGTGAGTTTTAAAATGCTACCAAAAGCATGAAAAATAAGATTTTGTATGGCTGAAGTAAACAAAACACCCATCACAAGCATGTTCTGAAAATTCCACCTTCTGAGGATGGGGGATCAGGATAGTATTGGTAGGGGTCTCAGTACACCTGTATTGTTTCCTGAGATACGGGGCATCAAAATATTTTTTACATATTTTATTCTAGGATTAACATGGAAGATGACTTTTGAAAATGTTATTTGCTGAAGCACCAAACTTTTTTTTCTGCTAGCTTTAGCTTGACAACCTCTATCTATTTGGGCTAGTGCAAATATCCCAATAAAAATACTGGCCCTTCAAATTCAGCACTGAAATGTTTGCTACATATCGGATTTCATTACGATTTGATAAACATCTATGAAGATGATTTTATATATGTGAAAATGAAGACTGGAAATTCTTCAAGCCCAGCTCTGATGACTGCAAGATGATTCTTCCTCTCTGCTTCCTAGAAATATGACAATATAAATAAAAGTCGCACAGTATTGTAAAGCTTTTCTTCCGTGGATGTATACAGGCTGTTTTTCAAGTGATAAGTGGTGTTGTACGAATGTTTACTCCAATGAACTCTCAACAATTTCCAGTGACTGGACTGTGAAAGAAAAAATTAGAAAAGTGATTTAAATTTAATGCTGTGTGTTGAAAGTTCATCGATCACGAAGTGATGACATCTGATAAGATCTGCGGGTGCTGTGATCTGCATGGGTTTTCCTGTTTCAAGGCCGTGTGTAATGTTTAAAAAGTCCTGTGCTGTGCTTTTCATCAGCTACATGATGAAAAAATTTCGGTGTTTATAGCAAAAAAGTGTCTTCAAGTCTTTATCTAGTGATGTGTGTGCCCATACCAAGTGTTGTGTGCTGTGCAAAGTGATTGGTGAAAACCAATTCAGTTATTTAATGTGAATTCCTCAGAATTAGTTTTGATTACCCTTTTCAAGCAGCGTTACCTAATGTTGAAAGATCTCGAGTTTGGGAGAACAGATGAATTTAGGGGGAGATTACCAAACCTAGAATGTTAATTTTGAGGTCGGCAATTATTTTTTAAAGGAGCTATCATATTTTGTTATATAGTCAAAAGTCTTTAATCCGGACTCGTCGGGACTTTGGCGATTCCGGATTATAGACCATCAATTTAAATCTGGTAAGATGGCATGCAGAAATTATAAAATTAAAAATATGAAGCAGTAATTTATGAAATAAAGACCAATTATGATCTAAAAGGTATCAAAACTTAAGAAAAAAGCTTAATATTTATTTCTTTACTTTATTAAACATTTCTTTCAACGCGCGCATGCATAAAGCATACATTACGCATAGTCGAAATTAGAAAATTGCAACCAGAAAACTATTTGATGTGTATTTGTGATATTTATAATGACAAGGAATTTGATTTAAATCATATCAAAGACGGAGTACATCGAGATGAAATACTACATTTAGTAAGCAATTATAAGCCGAATAAAATAGAAACATCTGCCCTGAAGATAAGGATAGTGCTGACAGGTCAACTTCCAGTTTATTGCATGCCGTTACGTTCCCCTCCCCCCGCAGAGAAGCGTGAAATTGATAAAAAGATTTCGGAATGGTTAGAGAAACAAAGGATATGCCTTTATCCATTTTTTAGCAGCAATTCCACTTTTTTGTTTGATAGACATCGAAACATGCTTTCGCTTTGTAGATCCTTTGGCGTCTCCAGAATCGGAAATTCTTTTTGACATAATCGAAAGTTCAAGCTTACTTTTATAAAATTGCTCTAACAGTCTTCAAAAAATAATAAGCCGGATCCAATTAGAAGTTTAAGGAACAACGCAATCGGCAACATTAACTGAAATAGATAATTAGATCATTTTAGCTTTGCTTATACCATCCGTTATACATTAAACGCGCATGCGTAAATGTATTATGCGCATACGTAAAGGTATCATGCGTTTACGCATGCGCAGAAAGTTTGTAGCTTTGTGGTCCAGATTATAGATCATTCCGGATTATGGACGTCCGAATTAAAGACTTTTGACTGTGTCTTATATATATGACATAATAAAAGCAAGAAAAAGACGGAGCACTGTTGATGCGTAGTTATCCTATATTGAAGAGGAAGTATTATGATTACGTCGTAAGCTAATGTGTTGACTTTGTAAATAAAACTTGGTAGTCGAGGTGATTTTAATTCAATTTTTATTTCCAATTGACATTATGTGGCCACAGATCACTTGGCACCCTAATTGTGCCTGTTCAAGAACATTTACATTATTGCTATTATTGAAGTAGGAAGCAGTGTCGTGAAATTGCATCCAAACACATCACAGACAGCAGCTGAAGTGCGTAGTTATGAAAGATGGAAGCACTCGAAGAGAAAAGTTGGGTTGGTTTATAATGGTAATTTCAATTCCAAACTATTACGTCATCAGAGCTGCACAGGCCATAGAGTGATCTAGAAATGACGCAATCCAGAAAAGTTATTGCGATTTTTAGAATAGAGAGGGAGAATTAATGTTTTACCGTTAGTTTAAATTATAATTTTGATTCACATATTTTTTATCTTATATATATAATATAGTAAAATTATAGTACAAATTAAGTCCATATTAGGCATGACAATTTTACTGATAGAATGGCAGCATAATCCAGTCTGTTATGTAATAAAATCCCATAAATATTACTCTTTGATTGCTTTTGAACTAATATGGGCATAAATTTCAAGTTGATTACCTATTGAGAAGGTAACAGATACCTGCATAAATACTTCGGTATAAAAAAAGACAACCAAAATTTAGAGCAATATATTGATATCAAATTTTGTGTGAATGGAAACAGTTCTACCAAAATATAAGTATTACTGAAAATGACACACAAAAATGTCATGGAAAAAAGTGATTGTAAAATGAATTGATTCTAAGCTATATTAAATGAGAGAGAAGTATATCAATTTAAAATTTAAAACTAGATAAAACTCAATCTCAAACTGCTACTGTTTATTTAAGGGGGGGAACAGTATCATGACAAATTTTTGCATAAATAGACCAAATCTAAGCTCTAATTGACTAATTTTAAGCATTGCATTAGTAGCCTGGCTATTATTTTAGTTTACTCTTTAGTTATTACAACAATTATTTAAGCAGGCCTAAAAGCTAATCTTTTTACATTATAAATGTGCAAAAAATATTAAAACATATACAGTACAAAGTCTGCAATCCGGACTCGTCGGGACTTCGGCGATTCAGATTAGAGTTTTTTCCGGATTATAGTTCATCAATTTAAATCTGGTAAGATGGCATGCAGAAATTATACAATTAAAAATATGAAACCGTGATTTATAAAATAAAGAGCAATTATGATATATAGGGTATCAAAATTTACCAAAAAAAAAAAAAAAAGCTTAATAGTATTTGTTTGTTAACCAAAAGCTTAATAGCATTTGTTTGTTTACCTTATTAAACATTTCTTTCAATGTAAGTTGTTTAAGTTGTTTTGTTTTTTGTGCTAATACTTTCTCTTTAATTCTATAAACAGACATAAATTCTTGTTCAGTTACAAAGTTCCACTGTTCAAGTCCTGTAATTGCTGTGTCGAGAATACCAACTAAGTTGTCAATCGAAATTTTTTCATTTTCAATAACCTCTCTGTAACTTTCTTCACTATCGGAAGCGGTACATCGAAACATGCTTTCGCTTTGTAGATCCTTTGGCAGCTCCAGAATTTGAAACTTTTTTTGACATAATTGAAAGTTCAAGTTAATTTTTATAAAATTTCTCTAACAGTCTGCAAAACATAATAAGCCGGATCCAATTAGAAGATTAAGGAACAGCGCAATCTGCAACGTTAACTGATATGCCTTAGAATCAGTAAACATAATTTTAGCCTAGCTTATACCATCCATTATACATTAAACGCGCATGCGTAAAGCATAAAAAAAAAAAAAAATGTGGCTTTGAGGTCCAGATTATAGATCATTCCGGATAATGGACATCCGGATTACGGACTTTGTACTGTAATAATACACAGACATTTAAATGCCTTTAAAATTACAATCTAAAAATTAACATAAATTAAATAGCTTAACTTAGAGCTACTTAATTTGTTAATTTTTAGATAAACTAAGACTTAATAAAAGAAAACAGTTTAAGACTTATACAAAAATACCTGCTTCATGAAAAGTAGATGGTTCTACAGCAGTAGATGTGCTACTAGCAGCAACAGCACCAGTAGAATAATGTGCAGCATTAAACTTGTCAGCTTTTCTCTTCACATGTGTCTCTTTTTCCTATGAATAAATATTAAATATTTTTAAAATAAAGGAAATATGAATTTCCTCCTCTCTTCTCACTGTTCTTTTCTGAAAAATTTATAAAATAAATGTTATGATTTATTAGAATTATACCATGATTCTTTGAGATTATATTATTTTAATTAATGTACAAATACAAATATATTTTTCAATTTTTATTCTGAAGTTCTGGCTGTTCCAAAATTATTACAAAGAATATTGTTCCTTGTATTATATAGATATGTATGTATATGATATATATATGTATACCTTTGTGTGCATGTGTGTGTACATACTGTATATTTATGAATATAAGCGCCGATAGTGCATTTTTTTATTAAAAAACTTATCAAAAACTCAACACCCACATATAGGCTGAAATGATAGGGAAGGAATCCTATAAAGTTGAAACATGTGGCCAAACAGGTAAAACGGGTAGAATATTTTCCAATGAAACTGTTGTAGAGTAAAACGCAAACATCAGCGATGATAGTTTTAACTTCTGCTAACCCTACATAAAGTTAAGTCATTTTTGCTGTTCATTTGTTGTTTTGTATATGATTTGTAGTATCAGTGCTAGTGTTTTGTTATTTTAATGATGCAACAAACCAGCAATATAAACGATTTCGAAAAAGAAAAAAACAGATAAGTCATTTCAATAAAACAGATAAGTCATTTTCATAAAACAGATAAGTTATTTCAATAAATAAAATTAAAATAAAAAAATTTTCCATAAACTTAAATATTATGAACTCAAGAAATAAAATGCTATACTTGGTAATGTTTGCTTGTGCTCAAGTGACAGAAAAGTACCTACATTTTTTTGAATTCATATATAAGCTAGCCAATGTAATTTAGCTTTAAAAAAGTTTTGAAAATTCTCAGCTTATACATGGAATGTGTGCATATATACAGTGAAAATCATTTAACACGAAAGAGGAAACTGAAATATTTTTTAAGGTATTGCAATGTATATATCTATATACATATATATATACATATTCAACCAAATAAAGTTTAATTAAGTCAAACAACAAAAATGAGCTTTATATTTTCAAATTTCCACAGGACTAGTTTCGATGGTTTTACTGAACCATCAACCTCAGAACAAATGAACAAGATAAGATACAGTGATTCGGTAAGATAAGAACTACTGAACAAGAGTTAAGCTACTGCCACCATCTGTTGATGAAACGAGAACTAAAACATAATTTTCTTATAGGGTGAAGTCAAAGCTGGATTGGAATTAGTGTCGTTAACTAGAACAGAAAGATTTTTTTGAATGTGAAATGCCTCTAGAAAATCTAATTTACCAATGGAAAATGTTTTTTGAATAATTTTGACTGCAGAAAAATTGAAAGTGTGACTTTCGGACCTGCAATGCTGGGCAACAGAAGACTTCTGTTTCCTTTTTTTCTAACCTATGCCTCATGTTGCTTAACGCGAAATTTTAAGGCCATCTTAGTTTGACCAATGTATAGTAAACCACACTGGCAAGGAATTCTGTAAATACCCCAGGAATTAATATCCAGAATGGGATCATTGAGTACAGAAATTGGAATTTTATTGATGGGAGAATAAACAACCCGAAAGTTAAATTTCTCTGTTCAATTTTATAGCTAATTGATGGAAAGAAGGGAAAGACAACAGAATTCTTATAATCTCCTAAAACAAGAGTGTGCCTTTTGGTGTGTGGAGATGAGAATTAATAATTTAACTGCTGGATTAATAATTTTGGGTAAAAAGCCCCTGTCAATAGCTACTGCTTTTAAATAATTTAGTTCTTCATCAAGAGATAGTTTGGAGGAGCAAACTTGAAGTGCACGGAAAACATAGGAATAAAATGAAGCTAACTTTTGTTTAGTCAGATGACATCATTTGAAGTGTGGTAAAAGGCAAACCGATGAAGGTTTATGGTAAACCGTAGTACTGAAGTTGGATGTGTTATGCGTGACCAGAATGTCGAGGAACGAAAGAGATTTGCTGTCTCAGGTTCGAAAGTGAATTGAATAGCCTGCAATAACACGCTGAATAAGTCAGTCTTTCTTATCTTATCTAATCACAATAGCTTATCTCATTCATTTGTGCTTTTGCAGCTGAGGATGATGGTTCAGTAAAACCACTGAAATTAATCCTGTGAGAATTTGAGAATATAATGCTGATTTTTGCTGTTTCACTTCTAAATTAATACTTGCTTGGCATGTTATTGCATCTTAACTAAGTTTATTACAGTACATTTTGTTTACATAGATATGTATATATGCATGTAGTTAATAAAAATCAATGCAACAAAAACATCCACAAGAACTCAATTTAATTCAAAATTTTCAAGTTTTTCGAAAAACAAAGCATTTACCATATTTACTTACATAACGGTCGCACTTTTTTTGCCAGTTTTTCATTGTGAAAGTTTAGGTGCGACTATTATGTGGGGAAATCTACAGCACAATATTATACACTTTTGACGATTTTTTTCTGCTTCAAAACGGGGGTGCAACTATTACACGAGTAAATACGGTATTCAGGTTTTGGAAAATAATCTGATATTTTTCTTTGCATTGTCTGTTTTAGCAGCAAATTGTCAACAAATTATTCAATGTCGTCCATTTTGTTATTCATTTCACCACAGGAATGTGTGTCTAAATAACTGTGCATGCTTTTCATGATGTTCCTCATTTCGGATGACATGGGAACAGGAGCTGCATTATTCGTTTCATTTTTGTCATAAGAATCTGCATCAGGGATATGCAGATTCTAATTAATCTTTTAGCTATGAACAAACTCCAAACTGTCTTTGTCTGACATCATCGGGGCTGTACATACATCATCATCATCTGCTGCAACGAATTCTTCCAATGATGCAGTAGGAAAGCCCAATAATACAGAAACTTTCTCAAACATTTCATTAGGTGCCGGCTCAGGTCCTTCTCCATTTCTTTTTCTCACGCGAACCAAACTCACTGATTTTTACACACACTGCGATGTACTCGTCACTGAATTTCAATGCCAACTGATGAGAGATGAGAGTTTTTAAGTGCCATTTGTAGGGGTTGAAGGTGAAAGTAGCTTAGATAAACAAAACTGGCTCATGTCACAGGCTATTCCGAAAGTAATTTAGAGCCAACTTAACTTCATTTCTATGAAACATGCGAAAACACCTCTCTTTCATTTCACATCTCTCTTAAATCTCACTGGTGCAGCTGGTGTTTTCCATATTTTGTTCATTCCCAGAAGGGAAAATCTTTACATGTTAAGCGATTTTCGTTTCGTGTCCAAAGAAAATAAATAGCAATTTGTCAGGACCGTTGCATTATTTTGTGTTAACTGATGTTTCATCTTAACTGTTTTCGCGTTAAACATATTTCACTGTAATATGAACCAAAACGTTATGACCATCCCCACATTTTTCAATAAACTCATTTAATTTATGAATTGCTTTTATATTTATGTTGATTAGTTAATTACTACAATTTAAATTTCTTTTTTGGTGGATTTTTAATTTTTTATAATGTATCACACATAGAAATTTACAAAGGACTATGCATAAACTAAGAATAATTACAATATATACTGATGAGCCAAAATATGATGACCCTCACCACATTTTTCAATGAACTCATCAGGATGACATGGAGGGCACATGATTAAGTGGGAATGGTATTTAACTGCTGCTTGGAGAAGGTAAGGAATCATTCTTATACTTACTTTCATAAATGATTGGAAAGGCTGCTGATCTAAGTGAATTTAATAGAGGGCAGATTGCAGTGGCCTGAAGACTCGGAATGAGTATCTCCCAAACAGCACGACTGGTAGGTTGTTCTCGATCTGCCGATGTTAATATTTATGCAAAATGGATAAATGATAGTAAAACCAGCAGTAGACACCAAGGTGTTGGACATCCATATGTCATCAAAGAAAAGGACGTTGAGGACTGTCCCGCTTGGTATAGCAAAATCGGCACCAAACAGTGGCTCAGATGACAGCCTAATACAATGCAGGTCCTAGTGCATGTGTTTTGGAACACACAGTTCAGTGGGCACTGTTGTATATGGAACTTTGTTGCAGATGTCCCACCCTTGTGTGCCTCTGTCGACCAAGCATCAGTGTCAACTATGCCTACAGTGAGCCCAGGAACATCGAGACTGGACCATGGATAAGTGGAAGGCAGTTGCTTGGTTGGATAAATCAAGACTTTTCATTCATCACATCGATGGTCGTGTCAGGGTATGCCGTTTTCCAGGTGAACAGTTCCTCCCCTGCTGTACAGCAGGTCATACACAGGCTGGTGGTGGCAGTATTATGCTTTGGAGGATATTTTCATGGGTGGCTCTCACACCCTTAGCTGTGATAGAACTGACCATGAAAACTGCAGACTACCTGAACATAACTGCGCATCAATTGCACCCTCACATGGCGTTTGTCTTCCCAAGTAAAAATGGAATCTTCCAGCAAGACAATGCCCCATGCCACAAGGCTTGAATTATGCTGGAATGGTTCGAGGAGCATAAGTCAAATTAATGTCCTGACCACATAACTTACCAGATCTTATGCCGATATATCAAATTTGGGATGCCATGGAGCGACAGCTGAGAGCTTAAACACCATTAAGTCAGAATATCTCGATTTTACGTGACGATCATAAAGTTTTGGCTCTTCAGTGTATATATATATATGTATGTGTGTAAGGAAGAATAAATAATATATTTAAAATTTGTCCCAATTCAGAACAAACTATATGTGATAATAAAAACCTGAAGCATTATGGTACACGTATGAAAGGGGAAAAAATGTTAAATGAAAAAAAAAGTAATTTACATCTTTTGTTGCATTATCATCAGGGGGTTGTGGTAGGAATGAAGTAAATACATCAACCTGAAGTAATAATGCCAAAAATTAAAAAATTAGAATTTAATATTAAAATAATCTCAGAAAATTAATAAAAGTAATTTTTCTCTTTCTCAGTCTAACTCCTACAGGCAGTAGTAACTAGTGCAAAA